TAAGATATGCTTTTCAGAACATTGGCTTTAAAGAATATTAATATTTCATATCGGTATGGAGAATGCACGATTAATAAATTCACCCAAAATATGTTTCAGTTCTTTGGGTACTGGCTTAAAATGATACAATATAGTTGTAAAAAGTATCTACATCCTAATGTTTTTCAAATTAAAGAATGGCTCAAAATTACAGAACCTTTTTTTTTTTTTTCACTTTGCTTTAGACTAGCATGATGTACGCTAATTGCTAACTTGGTCTGCATTATTTTTTAAAGATCAAATGGGCACAGTGGTAATTTTCATTAATCTCATACAGAGCAGCTAATTAAAATTTCCATTATTATCTATCCATTATCTGGTTGTTTCCTTTGTTCAGTATCAGAACAGGATGTTAATAATAAACAATTTCTATATTATAGCCCTATTAAGTATAGTGAGGTTTAGTTTAATCCTTTTGACTGTTTTGTAATTTGGTGATTTCTTAAATATTATGTTGTACCATATTGATAATGTTAAAGATAGTTTGACAATGACATTTTAAAATAGAAATCTCAGTATTAAACACTTGTTGCTTCAATCTTTTATTAAAAAAAGTGGTATATAGTGGTTAAAGGTCTGATTTGAGGACCATCATATTTGCATTTTATTCTTGCAACCTCACTAATTATTTGAGCTGCATTGTTTATTTCTGTAATGGGCCTATTAGAACTGATCTTCAAGGACAGTCTACCCTCAATCAGCATGTCATCATGTTTTCAAAATTTTTAAATGTAAACTTATGTGAAACCCTAAAGTCCTACAAAGCTTAGCAAAAGTTATTTGTTCTACAAAGTTTTATATTTTCAATCATGTTCTATTAGATTATGTAGTGGGAGATGAGGGTGGGTTGAGCTCCAATTGGTGTATTTGTCCATAATGAATTTTTTTTTTTTGTCGGTTGTGGGGTTTGAACTCTGGGCCTGGGCACTGTGCCTGTGCTCTTCACCTCAAGGCTAGCGCTCTACCACTTGAGCCACAGAGCCACTTCTGGTTTTCTAGTGGTTTATTGGAGAACAGAGTCTCACGGACTTTTCTGCCCGGGCTGGCTTTGAACAGCGATCTGGCAGATCTCAGCCTCCTGAGTAGTTAGGATTATAGGCGTGAGCCATTAGCACCCGGCTCATAATGAAATTAATAATCATAGGGTTAATTAGAAAAAAGTAACTAATATTTTTTGGTGTCCATAGTAGGATACATATGAAATGCTTGTTTTGCATCCTTTGTGTGCAGTCTTAACTTTCACAACAAGCATAAATTTTAGGTGTTTCTTACCTACATACCTTATATGAGCTAATTGGTTTATAGAGATTATTAAATTTATTTAAGGTTTCTAAAATTAAAATGATTGGGGCATGATTTAAACCATGTGGTTTAGGAGTATGCTGTCCCCAGCAGTATTCTCAGTATTTATGAATAGACTTGACTCAAAACTCATAGGCCCTATAATATTATGAAATAATGCTGTATTAATCAGATTCTTCATTGCTCTGAGAGAGTTATTTCAACTGTGTTTCAGAAGTTTCAATTTGTGGAGTTTCAATTTATGAAGTTTCAGAAGTTTCAATTCTTCATTACTTTGAGCCATAAGGAAGACAAATCATCATGGTGGGAACACATGGCAGAGCATAACTTCTCACATTATGGTATACAGGTAGTAAAGGAGTGGCAGGAAGAAGCCAGTGCCAAGATATACCCTTCAAAGTTGCATCTGACATTCGACTTTTACCCATGTCTCTACCTTCCACATTCCCATCACCTCCTGATAGTCTATCCAAATTTTGAATCCATCAATAAATCCCTGACCAGGTCAATGTCCTGTAATCTAAGTGTCTCTGGGAAAACTCTGCCAAAATACTAACTTATGCATCCCTTGATTTGGTAAAGTTGACACTAATAATAACCATCCCTAGAGTTAAAATCTACTTGGAAATGTAAGCAGTTCAAAATTCATCAGCTATTCAGCAATTTAATATCCAACCATTGTGACAGAAACTAAGGAGTGTCAATAGTGTGCTAAATTGTTTCTTACTATATGGGGATACAGTGATAACAAGGCAGTCAATCTTCCTGCTTCATAGAGTATGTTCTAATTAGAAGGGAAAATGCAGGGCACATGATAAACTTACATAAAGTTAATAATGTTCATGAGAAATAAAAAGTGAAGATTAACTAGAATGAGCAAAGGAAGACTGATGGGTGGATACTTAAAGGATAGACTAAAAATCTTTCTGGCAGACAAAATGGCAAAATACAAGCCTCCAGGGTGCATCAGTAGGCTTTGTTTATCTATTAGTCAATAGAATAAGTTTAAAGATTGTATTAAAGTGGAATTAGACTTTGGACTTGTAAAATTCTAATTTCTTATACTAGTTCTCTTCAAAGTAATACATGTAATAAATAATTCTATACTAATATAACTTCAAAATTATGCTCTCTATTTATGCTGTTATAAGTATTTATGATGTTATTGCTTGTGAAGTAAGAGATGGATAGATAAACTATAGGAATATATTTGGGCAGTGTGGCTTGTATCTGTAATTTTAGCTGCTCAGCAGATTGAGATCTGAAGGTCATGGTATAAAGCCAGCCCAAGCAGGAAACTACATGAGACTGTTATTTCCTTATTTCCTTTTAATCACCAAAAGGCAGGGATTAGAGCTAAAGCACTACAATTGAGCAAAAACCTCAGAAACAACACCTAGGCCCTGAGTTCAAGCCCCAGAACCTACACAAACAAACAAACACACAAAACTACAATGACAAAATACCTCCAAACTACAGGAATATAGAAATTATTTCAAAGTAATGTTCTTATTTAACCATATTATCCATGTGGCAATTCACCCTGCATTTTCAATACCCACTTATCTCCTAACAAAGGAATAAGGCCATTGTAACAAAATATGGGAGCTGAAATGTGAAACTATTTTTGTTTAGTAATTGTTATGGACAAGTTTAAAAAGCATCATTCTTTTCTTGAGACTGACTACATTTAGATACAGTGTGTGGTGGTTGTCATATTTGAAGTTCCTCATACAAAAAAGATTGCTAAAATAGTGAAAATATTGTCATAGAACTATGAACCAAGTACAGATCCCCTAAATGAAGGTTTTATTATGCCTTTAATATTTATTATTTAATGGGCCTTTTAAAATTCAGAAATTATCAATGATGGATTACTGTTACATTTAGGAGGCATCATTCATTATTATGAACACTTTATAAAAATCCAAATGATAACATTCTTAAAGTTAGTGTAGTTGCATGTACTTCAAAAACAAGACTCAAACTAGAGTTTTATTTCAGACTACATTTATAGTGTAAGAAAGCAGAAATTATAATTAGTGACATCTAGGAGGTAAAATTTAAGGTGTTAGTATAGTGAATGTATTTATATTTTCTTCCCAGGCTATTGCCTGAACTACTTATATTGTTATAGCAAGGTAATGAAGCCAAGGAACTATGAGAAAGGTTAGGAATATTCTTATGTGCTTGAAAAATTAAAGACTATTTGATATTATGTAGATGCATTTCTTGACTTTTTTCCAGTCCTGATTCTTGAACTCTGTGCCTGGGCACTGTCCTTAAGCTCCTTTTTCCGTCTAGGATAATGCTCTTTCACTTTGAGCCACAGCCTCACTTCTGGTTTTCTGGTACTTAATTGGAGATAAGAATCTCAAGGACTTTTTCCTGCTGGGCTGGTTTCCAAATGCAATCCACAGATCTCATCCTCCTGAGTACCTAGAATTACAGCCATGAGCCACCAGTGCCTAGCAGTCTCTTGACTTTTTAAAGTTAATCTCCAACTTGAAAGTATCAGTTAGGAAGGGATAGTTGCTTTAGAATGGTTTGAGCATCCTAATTTGAGACCATTTTGTTCTATATTTTAATAAATTGTCATTTGCTTTTTGAGATATGGTGCTATTTTGATATTTGTTATAAATTTTGGTTTTGTAATAATTTTATTTTTTGTTTTACAATGGACTATAAATACCTTAAAATAAACTGGACTCCCTATGGTTAATCCTTATTCTGGATAGTTACATTCTGTAGTTCAAGCCTATTCAGTCTATTCAGGGCATGAACACTAGCAGTACAGTTCTTGTAAAAGTGGATAAAGAAACCTTGGAATATTATATCATATAATTTTACTACTAAGTTTTTAACACACAAAAAAATTGTGGGCTGAAGCTGGGCTCTGGTAGCTCATGCCTATAACCCTAGTTACACAAAGAATGATATGTGAGGAACACTGTTCTCTTTTTTTTTTTTTTTTGTTTGTTTGTTTGTCGTGGGGCTTGAACTCTGGGCCTGGGCGCTGTCCCTCAGCTCTTCAGCTTAAGGCAAGCACTCTACTGCTTGAGCCACAGCGCCACTTTGGGTTTTCTACTGGTTTAATGGAGATAAGAGTCTCACAGACCTTCCTGCCCGGGCTGGCTTTGAACTTCGATCCTCAGATTTCAGCCTCCTGAGTAGCTAGGATTACAGGCTTGAGTCACAGGCGCCAGGCTGAGGAACACTGTTCTAAGCTAGCCTAAGCACAGAAATTTGAGACTTTTGTCTCAGGAATAGCACCCAGACCTTGAGTGCAAGGCTCAAAACTGGCAACAACAAAAGGAATAGAAATGAAAAGAAAAATAAGTGCCATCTATGTTTCCTGAAGAACCTCTTATTCTGAAAAATTGGGGAAGAATTGTGATAGGCCCTGAGTTCAAGTCCTGTGGCTGGTACAACTATAACAACAGAAAAATTGTCTGGATAAAATAGTTTAAAGTTATAGTACTTGCCTACTACATACATACACACACACACACACACACACACACACACACACACACACACACAGTTTAATTACTAGTACATCCAAAGAAGGGAATATATTTTGTACAGAAACTACGTGTATATTCTATTTGACTTTAAAACCTTTTAAAAATCGTTAAAGGTATCTTCTTATTTCATAGGGTGGGCTGAAAAATAGCAAACATGAATGCACCCTGTCTTCACAAGAGTATGTCCATGAATTACGATCTGGCATTTCTGATGAGAAACTTCTTAACTGCCTGGAATCGTTGAGGGTTTCTTTAACCAGCAATCCTGTCAGGTAGGTGATTCATATTATTTTGCTGTGATTCACATAATTTACATTGGACATTAATTTGTGAATATGTGACTTTAGCCTCAAATTTATCTGACCTAAGGTATAATATTAGCAATAAATGTCTAATAATAGTATTGTAGTATTGTTTGGATTGTTTATGCTGGTAAGCATTAACAATGCATTTGGTTAAGCTAATCTTTAATTAATAAGCAATTTTTATTTTTTTTAGTACTTGTACAAAGAGGTTACAATTCCATGAGTCAGGTTATGAGTATAATGCTTCTTGATCAATGTCACCTCTTCCATAGTTCTTCCCCACATCCTCCTCCCATCCCTTCTTCTCAGGTTGGGTTAAAAATGGATAATTTGTAAGAATTGGATTATTACTTGAATATTTCATTCCTCTGGTTCTATGAAGCAGGGCCAGAAATACCCACTTCCATGGAAACCTATTCATGTAACTCATATAATGATTGTTCAAATTACAAATAGTAGTTGAGTATTTTATTCCTTTTAAAAGTTATATTCCAGATACCCCCACAATAGGTGAGACATCACTTGTATTGAGGTTTGAAGCTAGCTCTGGCAATAAAGTTAGTGAGAAAAGTTTTATCTACAATTAACCAGCATAATGCTGGAAGTAAAGCTGTGACTCAAGTGGTAGTGTGTCAGCCTTGAACAACAAAGCTCAGAGACATCATCCAGGTCCTAAGTTCAAGCTGTAGTGATGCCACCTGAAAAAAAAAGAGAATAACAAACTCTTTAAGATGCTGTACATTTTGGCTATTAGCTACAAAGGACAGGTAAGGGAGAGGCTCCTTGCCAATGATGGATTCCAGTGATGTGTTTTCATTAACCAAAGCCTTGAAATTAATAGGGCCTACAATAAAATGACATAAAAAATGGTCAGCGTAACATGAAATGCTTGAGGATGTACTTATATAATTGTTAGAATCTTGCATTTTGATTTTACTGGAGTATACAAAACCTTGTGAGATTTTATTCATGATTTCTACATATGTATATATATATGTATGTGTGTACATATACATATAGATATGTATAGTATATATATATATATAAGAAATAATCTGTAATATCTATATATGTATAGATATATAGAAATATACACATATATAGATGTACACACATACACACATATACATACATATGGAAAAATATAATTATATATAATTATTTTTTTGCTGGTCTTAGGGCTTGATTTTAGGACCAGGGCACTACCCCTGATCTCTTTCAAGCTCAAGTAAAGTACTCTTACCATTTTCAGCCACAGATCCACCTCCAGCATTTTTCCTTGTTATTGGAGATCAAATAGCACAGACTTTCCTGCTCAAGCTGTCTTTTAGCTGGGCTCTTTAGATTTCAGTCCTCTGACTAACTGGAATTGCAGGTGTGAGCCACCTGTGCTTGGCTTTCTTCTCATATATTACAACTAAGTCTTGTGCAGTTTTTTATTTGTACAAAGAACTTTCAAAATAATTTAAAATTAATTGGGTTTGGTCTATATAATATTTTATATAAATTATTTTTATAGCCATAGTTCATTTATTAGAATTATTTTAAATTGTAGGTTTATGAAAACTTTTATAAGCACAGAAATAAACTGAGATTTATTTTTAGATATTATAATGTTTACAATGACAATTGTGCCATTTCTACTAGAATGCCCCCCAAATTAATAATTTGAGCAAGTGATGTGAGTTCTTAGAGAGCATTATTCACCATGTTAGTGATTTGAGAGTGTAGTCCTAACCCTACTACACCAAAACCAGTAGCACCTGTAAAATAGTGATGAACACTTTAGCTGAAAATTTCAGTTGATTAACTGGAGTAGTTATTGAATGAATGATTAAAGATGAAATAATCAGCCGTGCATTGGTGGGTCATGCCTATAATCCTAACTACTCAGAGGACTGAGATCTGAGGATCACAGTTCAAAGCCAGTCTGGGCAGAAATGTCTGTGAGATCATTATTATTTTTTCTTTTTCTTTTTAATAGTTTTATTGTAAAGATACTGTACAGTGGAGTTAAAGTTAGATGAGTAAGGTAATGAGTACATTTCCTATCTCCATGAGATTCTTTTCTCCAAGTAACCACAGAAAAAGCTGGAAGTGGAGCTGTGACTCACGTGGGTGTATGGGTATTGGGCGCCGTCCAAGTACCTGAGTTCAAGCCTTATGATTGAAAAAAAAAAAAAAAAAGAAAGAAGCGGCAAGTATGAAGTGGCTGTGGTAGTGTGTATATAATCATACCAGTAGGGAGATATGTTAACAAGATGATCATTTCTAGACCAACTTGTGCTATTGGGAAAATCTGAAAGCAGTTTGTACTATATATAAGAAGACCATATGTCGAAAACAAAAACAAAAAAACAAAACAAAAAAAGCCACCAAAATACACAACTAGAAATTTTGACATTCTATAACGACGAGGGCACATTTGGACAGATTTTTTTAGTAGTAATAACCAATCTTATAAAGATCATGAGAAATGCTTGAAATCATGTGTGTAGCTTTAAGAAGTCAGCCTAGTAATAAGCGTCCCCCTCAAAGTACGGTGTCATGGTGAGTATGTGTCAAGTCCTGATTCGCTTGAGGCTTCTGCACTCTGGTGAATGGTTTTCCACGTATTGTGAGTTAGGCTTGAAACCAGAAGCTGATGATCTCAGAGACATAGTTGCTGCATGTAGAAGCAGTCTACAGAGGGGCTGACTTAGCCCAGTAGGTCTTGTGTCCCCTTTTTGCTGAAGCTACTCTCAAGATGTAAAAGAGAAGGTATGGCAGCGCTGCTAGTATATTTGGTACTAGTGAAGGCCACAAACAGCCAGCAGAGGAGGCAAATTACCCTGAATTAGGAAGGCAGTCTGGCAGTGTGTCTAGGAAATATTACCTTGTAGCGTAAGCCAGTTTCGAAAGTGTTCTATTTCCTCCAGTATTTGGGTGGAAACAATATTCTTCAGATAGTGTGTATCCACCCACTGAAAAATGTGAATGAGCTCACCATCCATATTGTGGAAATGGTGAATACACATATGATTCTGGGAAAATCCTATTCAGTCTATGTGGGGCAAAGTATTGCGTCTGAGAAGGTGCCAGAAATGGTGGGCACCACTGGTGGCAGGAATGAGGGTAGCAACCACGAGAGCGGTGAGGAGTGCAGTGGCAACCAAAGCGGCCATAAGAGCAGTGGCCACAGGAGCAGCAGCCATGAGAACAGTGGCATTCTAGTCTCCTTGCGAGTCCACCCACATGGAGGAGGTGCTGCATTTGGTTCACAAGTGCATTCTCATGGAGGGCAAGAGTTTCAGCGATCTACAGTGAGAGCTTCCCAGCTGAACCACTGAGAATATTCAGCAAGCCATCAAGCATCTGATCAATGAGGGCCACTGTGGATGCTGAGCCCTTCAAATATGCTGTCTGAGACCATGAAGCAAACATTTATCATCCAAAAGCCCTTGCCTCCTGCCCTTGACATGTTGACTTTTAAGAAGAGGGACTTTTCAACAGAAGATCCTAACTGACATCCTCTAGAAACTTGGCACTATAATGTTTAGAAGTTTACTGTTTTCCTATTTGAAGTTGAAAGAAAACCATGCTGTTTTGAACTTTTCTCTTTTCCTCACTGACGCTGTTTTTCCCTAAAATAATGTTTATTAACGAAAGGCAGATGGAGAAAAGGAGCTATATAAAAGATGAGAGAATATGTTTGTCTTAAAATTAGTTATTTCATGTTTGGACCTAGATTGTTATAATTATTAAATTTCATAAGTATAATTGATTCATTCAAATGTGCTAAAAATGGTAGCCTGGATTCAAATTTCAAAAGATCAAGTGCTTATTGCCACAGATTTATGGTTTCTTAAGACGAAATACTGTTATATTCCTCAAGTCATTTTTAGGTCAGCAGGGCAGAAAAGTCTGTGACTCTTACTTTCAATTTACTAAGGAAAATGTGGGAAGAAGATATGTAGATCAAAGTGGTTGGAGTGCAGGCCTTGACCGCAAATGCTTAGGAACAGTGCCTAAGTCCTGAGTTCAAGCCCCAGTACTGGCACACACACACTCAGAAAAAGTTTAGTACTGTGATATTTGGATTAAATTAAAATTCTTAGCTGGGCACTAGTGAATCACTGTAATCCTTTGTACTTGGGAAGCAGAGATCTGAGGAGTCTGATTAGAAGCCAGACCTGGTTGACAAGTCTGTTGAGACTCTTATCTCCAATTAACCAGAAATAAAAAGCCAGATGTGGAGCTGTGGCTCAAGTGGTAGAGTGCTAGCCTTGAGTATAAATCCTCAGAGACAACACTCAGGCCCTGAGTTTGAGCACTAGGACCACCACCCACACACAAAAAATCTGGAAGAGGATGTATGTCTCAAGTGGTAATGTGCCAAGCTCAAGTGAAAAGTCAAGCAACAGTGTGAGGTCCTGAAATCAAGCCCTAGTATTGGCCCAAAACAACAATCCCCCTTCTAGGAGCAAAAAAGCTAGAAATGGAGCTGTGGCTCAAGTGGTAGAGCACTAACCTTGAGCAAAACAGTTCATTCAAGCCTTTGGATTGGCACAAAGAAAAACATGTGACTTGAGTAAAAAGAAATAAGCTGAGTGCTGGTGGCTCACGCCTATAATCCTAGCTACTCAGGAGGCTGAGATCTGAGGATTACTGTTAAAATCCAGCCCGGGCATGGAAGGCTGTGAAATTTATCTACAATAAACCATCCCAAAACCAGAAGTAGTGTTGTGGCTCAAGTTGTAGAGCACTAACCTTGAGCTGAGGGGACAGTGCCCAGGCCCAGAATTTAAGCCCCATGACCGTAAAACAAAAACAAAAACAAAAAGAAGCAAGTTTCAAGACCACTGTTGGTTCATGCTTGTAGTTCTAGCTACTTTGGGGGAGTGGAGCTGGCCTAAGTAGGAAAATCTGTGAGACATATCTATTAAAGAGAAAAAAGCTGGAAGTGGACCCAGGTACTGGTGGCTCCT